CCACAAATTCTCCCCACACCGAAAACTCGTCGTCTCCCCCCCCCCCCCCCCCCCCCCCCCCATTCTTCGTTTTTACAACAAAAGATCAATTATCAGTTTTTTCTTACATTGCTTATCAATAGTAGTAAAAAAGTGAACGTCATGGATGTCCAATAGCCCTGCCCCGTCTGTATGTCTCCCTGTCTGTTTGTCTGTCTATCTGTCTATCTGTCTGTCATGTAATGATGCCGTATCAATTGTCAGTAACCACATCTACGTTCATTAATCATAAAAAATAAACTTTTTATGCTATGGTTGTAGTTTTTCCCAGGAAAACACCTGGTAGTAGCCAGGCTTCAACACCCAAGTGGGATTGAGAACAGGTTGTCGAGGATATGCGTGGAAGCTTCTGGCTTAATGACAACAACCAACCGCTCTAGACTATTGCCCACCCTTAGGGAATCGACTCGATGCCATGGACGTCTATCCCACACAGGGTGAAGTTTGGAACCCTGATAGGGCTACGCCGGGTTATCAGGAAGGCTATAAATACCCCAAACTGGGGTATGGACCATTTTACAACACAACCATGGCATCAGGGAAAGTCGACAAGACTAACCCTCGCACATCAGAGCCGCTGATGGAGAAGGGAGCAGAAGCCAGGGAGCAGGTAATACAACGAAATGTGGATCCTCCGACTACAACTCGAACCGAACCTGCAGAAGTGACTTTCCAGGATGTTGCAGAGCGGCCAAAAGTTCATATAACGAAGATTCGAGATTCACTGGCTGGTGGTTTGCACAGCGTCAAAAACGAGGATTACTTCCACGGTTTTCTACCGAAGGAGCAGGTAACTTATCAGATGGGAATAGGATGCTGGAACCGAAGAGCACCAGAGACTCTCAGTAGTCTTGTTTTTCAATAAAGCTGTCAAAGACCCCACACGTTCAACAGTAGAGTGGGTGTGCTGTGCCTCGCTATTGCGCAAAGTATGTCAGCGGTGTTAATGGTTGTCCATGAAGGCCGATGGTGACAGTACTATAGGATGCAATCTCCCGAACAATCGACCCAGGTACACTGTATGTTTGCTGTTCGAGAAATGGTCAACTGACTCGGCTGAAACTTACCAGACTCACATAGTTCGGAAGAGACACCCAGAATGGTCATGAAGTTTGCACCGCATAGGTAAAAACCACAACCGTCATCAAAATAGCTCTACGGTGAGAAATCCACCGACTGCCGTCCATGGATTCAGTTAAATGAACATGACCCTAAGTTAATGATCCCTGGCAAAGAGCGTGAACATCGGTCGTGAGCGACCGCTTTCATGCTAAGCATACTTATCGAGCTCTCGAGGGTAGCCTCACGGTTTCCGATAAAGGTCTGGTGGATCATTTGTATAGAGAAGTGATGACATGCTTTCATTTTCAGAGATCGGTGTCATGGGGAGGTGGGATTCTCCAGGAGGGTAGGGCTATTGTAGGGGTATTGCTCTCATGAAAAAAACAGCAAATCCATGCGCATACAAACTCTTCAAGCGACTAGTGGGTAGTGTGATAAAGGCTGCACCTATGAAGTACCGTAAGGATGGGCTATGGTTTGTATTGTTGAAGATCAATAGTGGGATTCATTGCCATGGACCAGATACATATCGATTGATAGGCTGCATTTCTCGGCGATTTCAAAGAACCGTACCAGATAGGTTGGTACTCGTCATTAATCATCCATCCCTGAAGATAAAGATAAGAGATCTTACAGTGATGATCGACCGCTAAATTCCGTCAGACTGATCTAAGCAATATTACATTTGGGATGATACCCTTTTGAGACTAAGCTAACCTAACCGCACCCGTCGTTCATGTGGGAGATACCATTCCTAAAATGCTCTTCATTCGTTTCTTCCCCATTTATACAATTGAAAGATATACAATAGAAACGATGGAGCTTTATATATATACTGCAGAATAAATTTCATTCCTGCCAATAAAATTGCAGGCTGCCAATCTTCTAATCCGGGTTGGTGACTTTCTGGTCAGGCAAGCTGTGAAACTTGAGCTGAAATCATTCGCTGCGGTAACTCAACTACTGACAATTGTACAACTTTGAAAGTCGAGTAATTTTCGATTTTCAGGAGCAGTTTATCATTTCCGTTCGGAAGTTAACCTCGGATGGAAGCCATAGTGTAACTTTTAAAAAGTTATAGATCAGCTTTGAATCAACTGAACAAACCTATTTCAGAAAATAATCTCGAAAATAAACGACGAATTGAAAAAGTCTACAGGGGATGATGAACAGGAAGTTGACGTGAGATTTATTGATCGTGACATGGTGCGCGCAACGCGTGTCGCGTACGCGACCATAGACCCAATGTTAATTTAAGCTCCGCCTACTCCTGAAGAAAATATAATTGTAAGGGAGTTTGCACATTTATTCACCCGTTGTAGCTTGTCGTAACTGTGCAGTATCTTTCAATAAAGGTCACATATTCATGTCCCAGAGCCGCAAACGCAACACGCGTCGCGAGCGCGCCTTATTTTGTGAACAGTGGTGACGGTCGACGATACGATTTTTCAGGAGGATAAGCCTAAACGGGATGATATGGAATTACGACACATTCCCATAAAATACAGTAGGCGTGCGAAACTGTACTATGTGCGGTTATATGGGTTCAAGCTCGTCTCAGGTCCTTTCGGCAATCTGTAGTAGAGCTTATCATCGAGTTCCAGTGAGTATATTTTCAGGACTGATAGAATATCATCGTCGAAATCGTATCCCTTTTGACGAGGAAGGGACAGTGATAAAACGAGCGATCAAGCGAGCCGATTGGCAACTGAATCACGAGCAAATATTCAAGTACGTGAAACAGCCGGTCATGCGCAGCAGCGTGCCTGGGTGCTCTGATACCTCACTATTGCAGAAATCGGGGCGTAATCTTGATTAATGGCGTACTGGCTCAGCCACCTTCTCTTAGCCTGTATAGGAAAGCCGGAATGTGGCAGTAGAGTGTAAACTTGGGGAGAGCTGATTGATTTTCTTCTGATCTACCGTAACCCTGAGAAAAATTCGCAGAATGTCCCGTCCCGGAAAGCTTTGCGCAAAGTTTGATCACACGAGAGACTGGAGCTGCAATCGCTTAGTATAGGAAGCCCAGCTGCCGTCATNATCCGGCCATTACCGTTAACCCACCCACCCACTGGGCTACTATTCAAGCCCCACCAACCGTCCTCTAAGTGAAGATTATAACATTTTTTGTTAGCACTAGATGAGAAAAGGTTTATTGAGGAGCATAAAACCCAGATTCTTACTCATTCAGAACCAAAAAACTCGGCGATGGAGCATTCGGTGATGTTTACAAAGGTTTACTCTATACTGGCCTGATTGAATCTAAGGAATGTGCAATCAAAACAATCCTCGGAACGGTCTCAACAGAAGAAAATGAGAAACTGTTCAGGGTAAGTCTTGCCTTGAAATCCTTCTAACATCGGCTGAGAGTGATTACAGGAAGCGATGCTCATGAAGAGGCTAGTGCATCCTAATGTGGTCATGCTGCTCGGAGTCGCCTCAAATGAAGAGCCCGTAATGATCGTCATGGAATTTGCGCAAGGTATTGCGTGGGAAAACAATTTTCAGTGCTGTAGTTCCAAGTGCAAGGAGGGCGAACGGATCTGTATGCATCATTTTCAGGTGGATCCGTTCTTGACGCCGTACAACAAAAACCAGGGCCATCCGCCTACGTCCGTATCAAGTACTGCAGCCATGCTGCTATGGGCCTCAACTATCTTAATAAACAGGGGGTGAGACGAGACTATCACATTTCTCGCCTCTTCCTCGTATGGTTAAAGCGAATAGAGCAGTGGGCGAGTCTTCCCTAGTTCTTGTCTCTGTTCACTCTAGCCGGAACGTGCTGTCGCTGTGTCTCTGCATCGCGGACAGCTCGTCCATCTATACTCTTCCTTGAATGTAACATCTGGTACCCTATCTCGCATTTTATCAGTCTTTGAAATTAAACAATTTCAGATCATCCACCGAGATGTTGCAGCTCGAAACTGTCTGATTGGCAAGCATGATATTGCTAAGATCTCCGACTTTGGATTGAGTATAGTAGGAACTCAGAAGAAGGAGAAGACACTCAAGAAGGTGACTGCCATATCAGGCTGCTCAAAAAGACGGGGCTACACGGAAAAGACGCGTCGGAGTATGAGTATCGAGAATCCTCGAGGA